AAAAAAAAAAGAAATGTCTCAGGAAGGGAGGGGAATCACTCCTGCTGACATCATGAACACTTCGCTACTTCACAGTCTAAGCTATTTTGGCAGGTACTTATTACATCTTTTAAAAGCATCAGATTGGGATCACACTGTACATGATGTTTTGCATTTTACTTCCTCCCCACTCGTTGACCACTCCCTCGCATCCTTAAATATTTTCCGAGAATCGAATTCTCATTGGCCGCCAGGATTCCAGCCACATGGGTCAGGGTCAGCACCGCCCCGTGTTTGACCAGCATCCTAGGTATCCAGCCGGGTCTGATTCTTCCTTATTACCGCTTATGTAGCAGTGGTATCTCCGTGTCACCCCGACAGCCGCTTTGCTCCTCGCAGACTCTGGTGCCAGGGAGACTTCCCCGAGGGGTTAGGTGGCGTGCACAGGGTCGCAGAGCAAGCATGCGGCACTTTGTAGCCACTTGGCATGAATGCTGACGGCACGTTCCCCAGCGGCCTCTCCTAGGACTCAGGAGGTCTCGTGCAAGGATGCTAGTGACACATGGCTCTTAGTAGGAGAGCCAGAGCCTGAGTGGGTGGTGGGTGGGGTTAGATTCTGCCCTGGGTGGCCTGCATTGGCACTTTGCAGAGGAAAACCATCTGCCCCCTGGAGCAGGGGTGACACCAGGTCTCAGGAGCACATTCTCCAGGGCAGAGGGGAGAGGATAAGGGAGGCTGTGAGGGCTCGGAGGCACGTGGGACTTAGCAGGCCCAAGGAGAGGTACTGGGGCTCCTGCTTCCTGCAGGCTCCCAGCTGAGGGGAGGGCAGGACATACAGCTTCTGGCAGCCCCACCAGAAGGGTAAAGGTGGCCTCCTTACCATGCTTGATCATACCATCCTGAAGCCTGACTCCCCTCCCCAAGGAGAACCACTGCCCCCCTCCAGAAGCAACCCTCCTTCCCCATCCTAACTTGAACTCACTTCCCCTGAGAGGGATGGGCTTGCTGCTGAGGGGTTGGGGTCTACGGGTACGTGGACTGGCGTCCCCCTGTTTCAAGCTGTGCCACTCACAGCCTAAAGTCACTGAACCACTATGCCTGAGACCCTTGAACTCTGACCTTCTCATATTCCTCTCTTAACAGGCAACTATTGGGATCGACTTCTTGTCAAAAACCATGTACTTGGAAGATCGTACAGTGAGTGCTGCTTTCAGATCTTCAGAAGCGGGTGGGTGGGAGGGAGTCCCCCTAGACTCATTGGGGGGTGGCCTTGGTGGGGTACTAAAGCCCAGGCCTGTCAGTTGTTCCGAGCCCCCCAGTTCTCCTCCCTGCCCCACACTGACCCCTCTGTCCTCTGCCGGCCTTCCCCGTGCCAGGTGCGGCTGCAGCTCTGGGACACCGCTGGCCAGGAGCGGTTCCGCAGCCTGATCCCCAGCTACATCCGGGACTCCACGGTGGCTGTGGTGGTGTATGACATCACAAGTGAGTGTGGGGGACCTGGGTACCCAGAGACAGTGCTGGCAGGGCCCCGGGAGCTCTGCACACCCACTCTTGCCTTCTCCTGGCTCCCCTGGACAGGACCCCCACAGGGCATTTGGGGAGGAGGCTGTCGGCTGGGGGGCTCCCTGTCCGGGTTCTCTTCTCTCCACCGTTACCTCCTGCCTCCTCGAGGGCATCCTTCTCTCTGCTCTGCACCCCCACATCACGTCTCACGTCCACACGGGCCCCAAAGTCATGAGTCCACACTCAACAACCTTCTAGGTGAAAACACACACACACACACACACACACACACACACACACACACGCATGACAGGACAGAGCAGAGTTTAGAGCTGTTGTACATAGGGTCGCTATGAGTTGCAAGCAACTCCACTGGCACATAACAACAACAATGGTATTGCTGTGTCCAATGTTATTTCTATTTCCAACTCTCATCAAAACTACTTGTAACCTTAGTGTATTACTTTCTGATGTTTTTAATGTACCTGGTTTAAGTGTACTGTTACAGTGTTATTTTGTGGTGGAGACTAAACACTTTTATTGTAGAACTCCTAAGTGTTTATTGTATAATAGAAATGTCTCAGGAAGATCTTCACCCTGAAACCCACAGC